GATTTTTTTTTATAGGATTAAAAATTTTTTCATTTTCTAAAAAAAATAAAAGTTAAAATTTTTTTTTTGGATTTCTAAATGTTTTACATATGTATGTATGGGTATATGTACATATTGTATACAATTATAGCATAAGTACCTAGAAAATATTTTGCGGTACTGTTACAATACTTACTATCGTATTACAAACTCTTAAGTAAATTCGAAAAACAAAACAAAATTTTTAATGTTATTCGGAAATTTTTTGTGTTTTTTTTTTGTTTTTATTTTTTAATACTAAATATAAATAAAATATAAAATACGTGTGTGTATGAAAATGTATGTATGTTTTATAATATATTTAAGAAAATAAATGTGATATTTTAGAATTTTAATTTACTTACATGAACATAAATGAACATACACATGCACCTATTATAAAATTCTATTTTAAATTACTTTAACATTATCATAATAAAAATTATTAAAAGAGAATAAATTTTGAGAGAAGAGAAAAATTTTTAGTACTAAATTTTAATAAGCTTCAAACTCAATTTAATATTAAAAAATTAAATTTGTGGCTTGAATATGACGAGTATTTAAGATACTCCCCACACTTTGCAGATTGTAAAAATTGAGAACCTTGTAAAAATTAAAATTTAATTTTAATAATAATTGAGATTTAAATTGAATAATTTTAATTAAATTATATATTAAGATTTAATTTTAATAATAATTTCATTAATTAAAGAATTTAAGTGGAAAAATTTAAATTTTTAATTTGCAAACTACTTACATACAAGCAAGACAATGAGGGCTAAAAAAAAATAAAATTTTAACAATAGGATTTTCCTGTTTTTGCATTACTCGTAACAGGATAAATATTGCATGTGTTTACCATGTTATTCTGTAAAATTTTAAAGTTAATATAAAAATTTAAATAAATATTTGTGTGTTTCATTGCTAATATTAAAATTTAATGTAATAAAATGAAATATAATTAAATTTAATTTAAAATAGTATAAGAATATATTTAATAGAATAAATTGAAGCCTATAAAACAAATATTTTAATAAATTATAATAATGCAACTTATATACACAAGTATACATACATAAGTTAATATTTTTGAAGATTTTAACTCTCAAGAAATATTTTTCTAATTTAAAGTTGTCCCATATATACGTTCGGACGTAAATAGTAATGCGTCTTGGTGAATGTTTTAGTTACAAATAAATGGAATAAAATTTTAACATTACATTAATTTAATATTAAATTAATTAAAGTACCATATTGCAAATTTTATTGAAATGTTCAAGCTTAATATTGTATGATATGCTGTAGAACAAAAGGATATTAAAGGAAAATAGATATAAATTTTAATTTTAATTTATTTGCACATTATAATTTTTATAAGGCAAAAAGAAATATTTATAAAAGCATTTTTAATTTAATTCCAATATAATTTAAATTTTTCATTGCAAGTCTTAAACCAGCGAATGCAGTTGTGGTTTTTTAAATTAATTGCCGAAATTTTGAATTAAATTCATACAAATGTATTAAGGACGTGATCTTGTATTTTGATATTTTACTCGCCAAGTAAGAAGAAGGTGAATAACTATGATCTATAAGATATTTGTTCAATGCAATTTTCGAGTGAGATGAATTTTCCAATATTGTGTGTGTATCTTGTTTTTTTTCTAAATTGTATGCAAAAACTTAGTCATTATTTATTCACATTATAGTTTTTGAAGGTGATATATGGGTTCAGTCGATAGTTTGAGAAAAATTTAATAAAAAATCCAATTTGAAAAAATATGCAATCTTATTGGAAAAAATGAAAAGAAGTGAGATGAAAATTGGTGAGAAGAAAAATCGCAGACACACGATTAGGTCAAGTCTTTATATACAATTTTTTTTAAAATTTGTACTCAACAACCTTTATAAAGTTGCAAGAAGAGTTCAAATTTTTTGCAATTTTGTAATGCAATTTTTATGGTATTTAGAGTCAACAGATTTTATTCTAGTGTTATATAGATTTGAAACTGTTATATAGATTTTCAAAATTTTAAAATGCATAAAATTTTATATGTAACACAAAATGTAATTTAATAACAATTCACATTCATTTATATGTATGTATGTATATGCGTATAACCAAGTATAACAGAAAAATTTTCTTGTATATTTCATTTTTCTTAATTAGTTTAAAAAGAATTTTTTTTTTAAATTTTATAATGAGAATCTTCTTCTATTTTTTTTAATTTGCATTATTGATTCAGAAGTGTAAGAATTAAATGCAAATTAATTAGAATTTCAAATTTTAATTAAATTATTTTTTTGTAAATTAGAATAAAAATATTTTGTCTTTGTTTCTATAAAATTAATTTCTTTTTAGAATAAAATTATAATTACTGAGATTTTTAAGAAAATTTAAAAATTTACTTAAAAAGTGCATTCCATTTTAAAACTACGACACGCTGGACACCGCCTTGTTAACTCCTTAAATGATTCGTGAAAGTGTAACTTGAATCTGTAAAGAATCAAGTGAAAGGTGCTAATTGTTTTATGCATAAAGGGCAAGGGAAAAAAAGACTTAATAAAGCGAGATTTTTTTTCACCAACAATTGTCCATAGCAATTAACTAAATTGATAAAATTCCTAATTTCATTTTTCGGGAAATTTTTTATTTCTATTGGAAAAATTATGGCTGCTGTATATAATTTTGTACTAACTACTAGAGACAAGTGACTAATGTACCGTAGAATATCCTACTATAATTAAGTGTTGAAAACTTATTTAAGACAACAAATTATAAGCGGTTTAGACATAAAATTTTTAATTTGACTAAGTTGTAAAGGTCTTTTAGTAAACCTTTTAACTGCATTTTTAAATTATCACAGTATTACTAAATCTGTGACATATCTATGTCATAAAGTAACTATTATTAGTCGTCTTCCCAATTACATTTACTTACCCTATCAAAAAAAATTTTTATTAATCTTCTGTACAAAATTTCTTTATCTTTTTATTCAATTAGATTGCAACGATTGCAAATTAAATCTTATAGTGTAAATGCAGTACAATAAAATTGTTTTGAATTAATTAAATATTAAAGACTAACGTTATTCGAAAAATTAAGCACACTGTCATTATTGACTGAAATTTTCAACTTGTCCAAAGAATTTTATTTTTTGTTCACTTTGTTATTTCTAATGTAGTCTATACCCATTTGATTAGTTGTGATTCTTTTATATTACGAATCAGTGTACATGCGACTTTAATATACCCAATAAAATAATTGTTAAATAATCTGGAAATTTCAAATATTCGAAAAATCGAAAAAGAAGTAAAAAAAACTATTTTGATAACGATTTCAAATCATTTTCAGAATTTTATATTGATTTTTGATTTTTGAAATTAAATAGACGTAGACGAGAAAGTTAAATTTTTTTTTAAATATTTTATTTTTATTATGTGAATAGTTCGTTAAATAAAATAGTGTTTTAAATATATATGGGATGGGATTTTATTGAAATAATGAACACTGAGTGAATTTGGAAATTGTAAAAATATAAATGGAAAAAAATTAGATTTGACCATTAAGTGTTGTGTTGTGTGATTTCTAGATAAAAATTTATTAAGCACAAGTATTTAATATACACGCAATTTTATGGAAACATTAGATTTTGGAATACACTATAACAATATTTTATTTACCATATTAAATATGCTGATTAATTCAGTTGAAATTGGAATAGACAGGAGTACAAAAATTAGGTAGACAGACTTCTCACTTTGTAAAAATATGTGATTTATTTACGTTCCATTAACATGAAGAATATGATTTTACTAACTTGACATGTAAATTCTAGTGTGAACACAATACCTCTCTTATTACATTTGATGCGAACGATAATAATTAAATAAATAAAATCTCAAAATTATGCAAGATAATTTACTCTTAATTCACGTAAAACATAAAATAAAATTATCAAATATCATTGTACTTATGTACTTTATATGCAAATGTGTAGGTATATGTTCGGTACCTTAAAAATATACTTAAAGAATAATAACGAAGGGGCTTTATTTAAATAATTTATATGTAGGTAATGTTATTATATATGGTTTGAAATCTAAGATATAAATATAGTATTTACTATGTGTTGAATATTTGAGAAAATTTCCAAATAATTTTCTCATAGTTTAATTTTATTACAATTTAATCTCAACCTACATATGCATATGTATGCATATATTGTATGTATATTACAAATATATGTAAATTGAAATAAAAAAATAAATTATTCAAAATGAATTAAATTTAGTTTGTACTCAACTATTTTACATAATATTATTAAATAGATATAAATAATCTTATATATATGTATGTATGATATGTATAAGAATTTACATTTATGTAATTCATATATTATATATACACAAATACTAAGTATAACAAATAAGTGAAAACAGTGTTGTTCACACAGTAATAAAATTTAAATTTTAAGAAAATTTTCAAAAATAAAAAATTACATAAATTTTCTTAAATTTATCTTTAATTTAATTATGATGATAATGTTGTATAACACTTAAATAATATAATTCATTCTATATGTATAATATTTTTCCAGAATTTCGTTACATAAATAAAAAATAAAAATAAGGGAAAAAATTACTTACATGATATTAACAAGCAAGTCACTAAACTTTTCAACTAATTGTAAATTAAATAAAATGTTTACTTACATAACAAGTTCCATATTAGAAACGTTCAATAGAAAAAAAAAAACAAAATTATTATAAAATTTCCAAATGAATAATTTCATCTATAAATTTAATATATAAAAATTAAAAATTATTATATCCTTTAACATAAAACACTCGCGTATACATACATAAAAAATAATTTTAATTTAATTGTGATAAAATGTATTGCCATTTATATAAATGTATTCAAAGATAATATTATAAGGAAATCAACATAAATAAATTGGATAAATATCAGATTCAATTTACTGATCATATATTCAAAACGCTGGTGTTTTTTACATATACATATTATATAGAGAAACAACTTTAAATATAATTATATAGTGTGATTTAAATAATGATAACTCGATTATTACCTACCGATGAAAACCCCAATTTATGTTCTGTAATTTGGGGAGCAAATGTTAGTAAAGAAGTTCAAGTAACTTCAGCACCATCTGTTAGTCATCATTATCAAGAAGTTAACAATGTACATCAAGATGCAAATCAAGTAAGTATATATATATATATATATATATGTATAAAGCATGTATATACTCTGTTGAATATTATATTGGTTGTCGTACAAGTTTTACGGAATCGAAATTAAATAGCCTTAAATTAATTTTAATAATTCAATTATTTATGCAATCATTCTCTTCATAACTACGAAGAGGATGGATCTTATGGGAAAATAATTATATGTTGTTGCACATACAGGGTGTTTTATATAAGGTAGCAAATAATTTCGGCGATTCTTTGATCAATTTGCAGCCAAAAATTATATGGGCGGGAGGGTGGGGGGGGGAGAAAGGTACCGAATAAATGCTTACAACTTCGGAACCATGCGGCAAGAGTAACCAGCGGTAACTGGTTTCAAAGACAATATTGTAGGACCTATTTCGCATGTTTTTTTAAAAAGACATTTGGCACGTTTTACAGGCAAAACTATGAGAGATAGAGGAAAATGTTATATGGATTGACTTTTTATAAACGAGTTTAAGATAAGGACACATTAATTGCTTTATAAATAAAAATCTCGGCTAAATGTAAAGAATTTTCGTAAAAAATCAATGTGCATATATCCGTGTTCTACTGTATACCAAAATATTTCAGAAAACTCTAAAAAGTCTACAAACTCTTCCCTGAGAGGACAGTAGGAGAAATAAAAAGATCATATTTTGAATAATTTGACAGATTTGGTTCTGAATAATTATAGGTGTGTTCAATAATGTGCTCTCATAATCTGCTAATTTCTTTTTCAAACACATTACAAATTCATACAAAAAATGCAAATTACCGAAGTACCGTTAAAACTAAATTACTGAAAAACTATATATCAATATATAATATATAGTACGATTTTCTAATTTTTATATAATTCTTATTCTTCACTTCCATCAATTTATTGCACACCGTGTTGAACAAATATTACTAAAAGTTAGAACTACCATCATAAATACAACTAGTGCTAGAAGTGACATCTGTTTGATAAAGAGACATAATATTCTGATTCAAAAACAAATTGTCAAATCGTTGACTGATTGAATCTGTCCGGCATTTATAGCTTTAGAGCTGCTTAAAGTTTAATTATTTTGAATTTTTAGAATTTTTCAAGTTTAATTTAATCGTAAACATGTATCTGGATTTTATTAATGTGAACTACGTATTGTTTTGGCTGCGTTTGATCTCGTCATTATCCAAAAAAAAGATTGGATAGGTGACTTTGTAATTTTACCTAAAAACATAAATTTCATGTGAAATGTCTATTTTTTAATTCAATTTGTATACCATATACATATCTATGTACATGTGTTTTCTTAAGCTTTTCACATAATTTATATCTTTCTTTTTTTATAGCAAAGGGAAGATCCAAGAACGGAAGCGCTACGTGAATTTTCTTATGGCATCATACTTCCAATTATCTGTGCATTGGGTATAATTGGAAATGTTTTAAATCTTATTGTTTTAACTAGGAGAAATATGAGAGGAACAGCATATATTTATATGAGAGGTAATTTTAATGAATTCAAATTAGTTTTTCTTATTAAAATACTAGAATAAATTGAAATCCAGTGTAAATTGTCCTTAAAATCAATGGAATTCGAATCAAGTCTCATAAAATGTACTTACAATTTTATTTCAGTATATGTATAATTAAAGCAATATTTTGATTTGAATTGAATCCGAAATTATTTTAATGTAAAGTAAAGTGTTTAAGCTGTTAGAAAACATTCCAAAAAATCTTATTGAAATTTACTTGGAACAAAAAAGGAAATATGTATGTAATTATTCTGGCATCTTTTTAAGTTTGAAAAAAAAAGTGATTACAATTTTTATTCAAAAATTCAAAAAGGACTTTCATATTTAAAAGTTTTTCTAAAAAGCTTTTTCATATTCAGCTGGATTGATTGAGGCGAAAATCATAATTCAAAAAAAAAATTTTTGTTCTTTCGTCTCTTCTTATTCTTTTTATCCCTTTTTTGTTTTACTTTTTATTTGTATAAAGGTTATTCGGCTGCTGCATTATTAGCAATTATCTTTGCAATTCCATTTGGTATTCGTATGTTAGTTCATAGAGATAAAGGTAGATGGCAAGATTTTGGTCCAGCATTTTATTCAGCCCATTTAGAACTATTTCTGGGCAATGGCTGTTTAGGTAAAATATTTTTTATTTTTTTTTTATTTTTATTAAAATCATGAAAAAAGCTTCTACTTAAAAAAATTTACGATTGATTTTAGGAGTCGGAGTAATGATGCTTTTAGTACTAACAATAGAACGTTATGTTTCTGTTTGTCATCCAGGATATCATAGGCCAGTGATGGGACCACCAAGGTAAAATAATGAACATTTAATCATAACGGTTTTTAATGGTTCATTCACTGAATTCTTCTATAAATTTTTTTATTTTCATAGTACATACAAATAAACTCTTATTATTTTCAATGGTTAGAGTTTGTGTTAGATTTTGTAAACTTTTTTTTCATTTTCCCATAAATAGCAAATAATGTAGTTTGAATGTTTAACAAAATTATTGGCATAAAATTTTTTGGAAAAATTGCAAAGCTGCGCAATGTTGGTATAATGCAAAATCACCTTTAGTTCATAAAATGACACAAAACATAGAAAGATTTCTGGATCTAGGTTTTGAGGAAATTAGAGAAACTAAAGAAACTAACAAAGATTGGGACTTAGAGGGTTCTGCAAATGGTACTTTTATTTTTGTAAAACATGGTTTGGAATGGCGGACTTAAATGGTTTTTGCAATATACCGATGAAATATTGGATAAATTGTAAAAAATGAAAATATTTTTTATTATAAATAACTGCTGTTACTATTATTTTTGCAAAATTTTTATCCCCAGTTTCATTTTACTTAATTTTCATTTTAATAGTTTTTTTTCCTCTCGTTTAAATTTTTTTAATTTATGTAAACTTCTTTTGTATATTTATTCTATTTTTTTTTCACAGACTAACTGTTATACTAATTCCACTAGCAACTTTTATAGTATATCTACCAAGTGTTTTTCGTGGAGAAATATTAAAATGTGCTTTTGAACCTGAAGGTGTATACATTTATTATAGGCGAGATAATGAAGAATTTTTAGGAACTTTATTTTATGCTGTAAGATTTTTTCATTTTGTGTATTATAATAATTTAAATTAAATATTTATATATTTAAGAATTACAAAAGAATGAAATATATACAGAAATTTCCAATAAATGGTATATAAATTTCAATAAGCTTTACGACAACTTGCTGCTATTATTCTAAGATTAACCTAAATGTGATTCTTAATAATTAGTAGCCTCAATTATTAGTAATATTATAGTAAAACGACACATCGGACATCCTTGTTAGCATTCCAAATGAAAATATTAATCTTTATCGGGAACAGTACAAAAGTTTTATAAATTATAAAAATCTTATCTTTAATTTCGAATTTATTTAGAAATTCTTAACTTAGTTATCATTAATTCAGTTTGGAAACTGATGAAGAAAAGTTGTAAAATTTATAATACGTTGTAGCTATAATGTTTTTAAATTGTTAGAAAATTCAAGTTTTACAACCCCAAGGAGAAATTTATAGAATGTTTACTACAATGACTATTTAAGGTTTCACTCTGAAATAAACATTTGCCTATTTTAATTAAATACAGCATATTAATTGAAAAATAATATTTTCTCCAAGATATTAACCGGGAATTAATACTTAGGTCTTGTATTCCAAGTATTTTACTATAAGAAGATTTGTAAATCCCAATTATTTTATTTTACCATATTACTATAAAATTCTTTAAATATTTGTAAATTTTAAAAATTATATTAATATGTAAATAAATAGTTACTTAATTACTTTCCTTATTTAATAATATAAAAATTTTATTTCTATATACACATTTATAATACGTCAACAAATTTGTGTTTTTAAAGGTGTACAAAGTTACGCTTGAAATTATTTTCAAATTAATACCAACCGTCCTAATTGCTGGCTTAAATTTAAAAATAATGATTGTATATCGAAGAACATGTGAGAAAAGACGACGAATGACTTTGTCACGAGTATCATCTGTTAAAGATGGTGATCCTGTAAAATTTGCAGAAGAACGACGATTAGTTTTGCTGCTAGGTATATTTCTACAAAATCTAAACTATTAAAAATAACAATTTTAATTTTTTTTTTAATACATACAGGTAGCACTTCAATTCTTTTTTTAGTATGTGTATCACCTATGGCTATTTTACATATGACGCTATCACAAGAAAATTTATCCAGTTTTTCTTTTCAGGTATTTGAATATAGAAATATAAATAACTTCTTAATACTATAATCAATAATATTTTCAAAAGGTTTTTCGAGCTATGGCAAATTTAATGGAATTAACAAATTATTCAATAACATTCTATATTTACTGCTTATTTAGTGAAGATTTCCGCAATACTCTAATTAGAACTTTCAAATGGCCATGGTTTTCCGGTATGCTTTATCATAGAACAGATGAAGTAAGTTTTATCATAATTTGTAATTTAATTTAATTAAGTTTTCATTTAATTATTTTGTATATTTTTGAATATGTATATAGATGCATTTAAAATCAAATAATCCATTAATTAAAATGGATAAATTATCTATAAAAAATCATATACAAAATACAACGACTTCTGGTTTATGTACAGTTGTTGGTAGATCAAGTAGTATCTGATATAAGGAATGTATAACACAAACGGCTGTATGAGAAAGGGAGCTAAATCAAGTAGTTGTTAAGCAAAGATAATGCACAACGTATACAGTTAGCAGTTTAGATTTAATTAAAAAAAAATGGGAAAACACATAATGTATACATAATGTGTGTATGTACATAATTCTGTAAAGCAATTTTAGTTTGAAAAATTGAAGGTTATATAATAATGCATAATATATATGTAATTATATAAAAAAAATTGATGTATATAAAATGTATGTATGTGATTATTAAAATTTAAAATATAATGTTTAATTTTGTAAAAAATTTAAGGTTGTGTAGAAAATTGAAAATAATAAAAAAAAGAGATAAGATTAAAGATTGAATTCAATTGTTAGAGATTTTTTCTATATAGTAGCCTTATTAATAAAATTATGTATAATAATATGTACATAATGTATGTATAATAACTTAAGCAAAAAGGTAAGTTATTTTTGTATTATTTGAATTCGTAAATATTATTATATATATTTTTTGCTTTAATCTTTTTCGAACATGTAATTTTTGCACACTTTGTTTGTTATTGAGCGCATAATTAGAACTGAATTATCGAAAATTCGGACCAAAAGACAGTCGTGTGTTTAACACCAATCACAACTATGTATTTTGTAGCAAAGAAAAATGTGATAATGGAATATAGTAAATTGCAAGCTTTGCACCTAAACCGATTTATATGTATAACTATATTCATGTCATCTCCTTCACTTCCTAGCGAATGTATTAAGAAGTTGTGATATACATATATGAAATAATTTTCCCAACGAATTAAACATTATAATATGCCTTTGGCATATATAGACCCTATGTCTACATATTCTTTATTATAGGATTATATGTCAACACCTTGTTGTTTGTAGCCAATTTAGGCCTTCGGCCTAGGAACCAATAGCTTTCTTCATATTTGTTTTCTAATTCTATTTAATTCTTTTTGATATGTTCTTTCCATCTAAGCGTGTTTTTCAAATAAGTATTTTTCTGTATTTCGAATTGATACTCTAGCACCATTCAAATTTAATTGTCATTGGTTTACTAAATTTTTGTTTGTGAAATTTACATGCATAGATTTACCTTCATTTAGCTTTATCTTCTATTTTTACACTTTTATTTATATATAACTAAATGCTTCTTGCATTTTTTTTTTTCAATTGTTACATTCGCCAACTCTAACTTGTATAGAGTATGTTTATATAGTATAGGACTCGGAATACTGCCTTTAGGTACATCCGCTTCAATTTATCTAAGTTTTGAGTACACATCACCCTTATGTTTAATTCTTAAAAAATCTTTCAGTTAAATATAATTCACATAACCCCAAGAATTGTAAAGTTTATATAGCAAATCTCCATGTCAAATTTTTTATCTTCATGAAATATTTATTCTTAAACTTTAATCTGGCTAGGAACCTAAACTTTGTTGAGTAAAGTTTTTATTTGTGATATATTGTTCCCAGTTGGACACTTTTATTTTAAAAAATTCTGATAAAACTTTTTTGTTTTTTTTTTTATATATCAATTTTTTGTTTTATTAATATAATTTATATGCAAATTACAATATTTTATAAACTTTATTTTTTTTTTCTTCACAAATTTTAATTTCTATTTTATTATTTTTTAACAGTTTTCTTTTTTTTCAATTTTCCAGAGATTTTTTGAGTTCTATTATATTTGTTTTTTTGTTTTTATTTTTTATGTGTGTGAATATTTTCAGTTTTTCTTGTCTTTTTTTTCTTTGTAACAAAATTTTACATAATTTTTTTATTTAATTTTAATTTTTATGTAATTAATATATATAAGTATGCAGTTAAGTAAAATGTTATTATTAATGCTTGGCGAATGTTTTTTTTTTTGTTTTTTTAATATACGAATGCTATCGTCGACTTTTTTTTATTTAATTTTTGTATTTCTTTTTTTTTGTTAACTTAATCTTAATCTATGTATAATTTATTTTTTATAATATAATATAAATAGAAAAAAAATTTCTGGAAAATTTTTCATATTAATAAATTTTTTTTTTCTGTGTATAGAACAAGACGAAATAATTTTTTTATTTTTTTTTTTCAATATGGCGTTTTTAAAATTTCCAACGACATATTTATATTTTTTTTTTCTATTTTTTATTTTACCTATTCAATCTTTATTAATTTCTGTGTGTGTGTCTCGTTACAATTGCTTTCATTTCATTTTATAATTTATTTTTTTTTTTAAATTTTCTTAAAAATTATGAAAGTTTTTTTTCTATTTTATGTGTACTCTTTTTTTTTTTACCATATACTTAACAACAGTAAGAGAAGGTTTGGTAACCCAATTTAATAATTTCATAACCATAATTTTTTTTCAATTTTCCCTTTTTTTTAGCGCATAAGTACCATTAATAAATTGATTTAGCAAAAGCATTTTAATTTATAATTAAAGAAATAGGGTTATTCAATATTTTAGTTTATTAAATTTTTTTGTCTTTTTCTTTTAATTTTTTTGGTTTTTCTTTTTTTGATTTTTTTTTACATTTAAAAGCATGAATGATTTTTTTTTTTGGTTTTTGTATAGTTATTTTTAATTTAATATTTATATACACTGAGAAAAATAAAAACTATAAATTAAATATTAAAAATTATTTTTTACATTTTCATTTATTTTGCATTTGTATTTAAAATTAATTTGATAAAAAATAAAATGTTTGGACATAAGAAGCGTAAAAAAAAAAATTAAGTAGAAGAAGAATTTCCGTGAGGGTGTCTTTTTATTTTGTGGTAAATCCGAAATTTTTTGTTTGTTTTGTTTTTATTATTTTTCCTTAAAAGAAATTAAATTAGTGTAATAAAACAACATTTTTCTTTCCTTTTTTCTTATGGAATGGTGTTTAATTAATTTTCTTATATCTATGTACATATTTATACAGTATACATACATATTTATATAATATATATAATAATAATAATGTTGTATATAATATATTATAGAATATAATATGAATTTTCCTAATATGTGTAAAGAAATCAACAATTTATAACCTATAAATTTTTAATATAAAACTCTATATATGTATGTAATCTGAATTACGGCTAAAAATAAACATATGGAATCCCTATATATACATAATATAAACTAAAATAAAAAAGGGAAATGAACATTAATTTTAAATAGTTCCGACCTATTTTTAGATACGCAGTGATTTCAAAATAAATTTTGTGATACAATTCTGCAATAGCAACTTAAAAGCCGAATTGTGCATTAATACCGCATTCCTGTTATTTTAAAGTCGGAGATTCAATTGAGTTGCAATTTACAAAATAACTCCAGCTGATATCCGAATTTTAATTATACTGAGTATTATTAGACGATTCTTGCTTAAATGTACTCGTACGAATTGCTGAATTTTATATCTATTGATAAAGTGTAGCCAATTATAAAATATGCATTAATATTGTATATTATTATATACAATTCAGCAATTACAATTCTTGTAAGGTGAATTATTTTTAGATATTACCTTATTACTGTATTTGTGAAGTTATAGAAAGAGAGAAAGCGTTTACACCTAAGCGCATATTAATGTATATTTAAAAATACTTTATACTGCAAATAAAATTGCATTGATAAGTAAAGTTGATGTTGAATTTGCATTAAGTGCAAACACTATTATTTTACGTATAGATAATAAATTAGATATTTTAAATGTGCCTTTTAAATTACTGTGTGTTAATTATTAATTTATATGTATATATGATACAATAATATATATACATACATACATAGTTATATTTTAGTATATAATATTTATAATTTTTTTAATAACACACACGTGTATGGGTTATATACACCTTTATATAATTAAGACATTATAATAAATAACAGGTTCTCAGGTTAAAGAAATATTATTAAAAAAAAAGTTTTATGTATATAAGTATGTATTTATATATATGCATATAATTTTTAGAAATTTACATGAAATTTGTAAATTATTTTATTTTGTGTATACATGTATATATGCATATAAATTGATTGATAGAATTTATCTCAATATATACAAACTACGTGAATTATATACTTACCTATTATAAATATTTGTAGATATTATAATGTATGTATGCATGTGCATTTACTATATATACTCAGCTAGGCACGATTTAACATTTTTATTCATAGTTTGTGTATATATGAATGGATTTAATTTATTAGAAATTATTCAATATGTATGTATGTATATTGAATAATTAATTAAGAATTTGAACAGACATAAAAAATCATAGTATGTACCTATATATTTATTCATAATTTATATATATCTGTAATGTATATATGTATATATATACGATAATTCTAAAAGGTAAGGATTCCTTTTTAATATTACATATACCTATGATTTACCATATTTAATCGGTGTTTCAGAGGGATTCCAAATTAATGTTACGTACATATATGATAATGTTATGCAAAAATTTTCAACTACTAATTTGTAAGTGCAATTTAATAATAATTTTAAATTCTAATTTAAGTAAGTAAACAATTTGGGTAAGTGCATGTGTGCAGGTTGGTATATTTATGTTAATAATAAATGCTTTAATATTTTAAATTTAAATAAACAAAAATTATGTATGTATGTACCTAAAAAAAAATACCTACCATTAAATTAGAAATTATGTACAATATTTCACAAAACAGTTTCTCGCTGACTATTGCCATGTAACATACATAAAATTATGTTATATAACCCGATTTCGTTGGAAATACGGTTACATCATCTAGAATACATTATGTTTGTTAAGCTTTGTTCCATAAACAGCTCACAATTATATGATTGTGTCATAACACTAATAATTCTTATGTTCCACGAAAGTTCTGGTAAAAACAGTATTTCTTGATAACTGTTCGAACACTGTTAAGTGAAACATTTGAGTGAAAATTGTATTCACTCAAAATAATGTTTTTCTTAAAAGTCAAAATTTGAATGTTTTGTTGTACCAAAGATCAATTCAAACAAACCAATTTTATAATTTTTGTATAGCTTTCAGGATAAATTAGAAAAATAAAACTTAATTTTTCTCCTTTAAGACTCTTAATTTCTAAATAGAAAATTTCATGGGACAAGAGCTATTATGAAATGTCAACAATAAAAATTAAATAATGTGTCATTTGCCGTGACGTCAATTTGTTCGTTTTT